CCAGGCAGCAGCCGCCCCCTCATCAGATGAGACCACCCCCCAGCCTGATCCAACCCAGGGCCCCACACCTGGAGATACCTCCAAAGTGGCCATGGCCACTGACTCCAGCAAGACTCAGGTGCCAGCAGGGCCAGACCAACCTGAAGGGGCCTCCCTTCCCACTGCCACCAACTCCGCTGAGAGCCCCTGTGTCTGCAGCCACGGCATGGACCCCAACCCGCTGGGCTGCCCTGACTGTGCCCACAAGACCCAGGGGCCCTGCCCAGGGCTGGACTGACTCCAGTGGGGTTCCTGCACCGTCCTCCCAGATGGCGGTGTGCAGCTCTCTCTTCCATACTCAGGGTCCTCACAGGAGCTCTGAAAATGTCTGTGGATTTCTACAAATGTCTCTCCTAAGTTGAAGGAATTGGAATTGAAAGGAAAAGGAAGGGGAATTGGGGGGAGAAAACACTCCCCGAGGGAGCGAGGTCACCAAGACCTGCAGAGCTCACCAAGTGTAGTTTAGAGCCCGGGGTCTCCAAACCCACTGTGGGCTTCCTGAATTTCCTGTCACAGCTGCAGGGGCTGAAAGTTCGTCAGAAGGTCCAGAGAACTGTCTGGAGCCTGAGGCTCCCCTGCTGCCTCTCCCCTGGCCTCAGCAAAGCTTGGTGTATGCCTTCCTTCAGTCCACTCCCCAGGGCTCCCTACCAGCCCACAGACACCATCAACTGGTACAGGTGCCAAGGGGACAACTTATTCCTTCTGCTCTTAGGAGATCCGAACAGGTCTTCCCCAGACGGGGATGCAGGCTGTGCACTGCACAACTCCAGGGCATCAGTCATGTAGACACATGGGCATGGCATCCCGCTTGTGCAATATGGTGGCCCTGGCTACGACTGTCACAGAGTATGGCGACTAAATGCTGAATCAGCACTCTGCATGGCTGGGAACTGGGCCTGCTGACGAACAAGAATTACCCAGGGAAAGGATTTCTTGTAGCAGAAACGGGCGATAACAATAAATTATAATAATGGTGATGACTTCTTCAGTATTCACCATGTGCCAACTGCTCCAT